ATTCGTCACACAGTTCTCTTAATATTGATTTATTCCTGGAGATCCTTTTATCTCTGTATCAGTTTCTATGCATTCCTGCTCTCTGGTTTCTATTCCATCAATGGCCTCTTGCATCTTATCCATTCTGCTTATAAATCCTTCCAGAGATTGTTTCATTTCTGTAATCTCCTTCTGGACATCATCCCTTAGCTCTTGCATGTTTCTCTGCAGCTCCATCAACATGGTTATGACCTTTATTTTGAATTCTTTTTCAGGGAGATTGGTTAGGTCTATCTCCCCAGATTCCTTCTCAGGGGAGGATGTCTTGGTTAGTCTGGTCTGTATCAAATTCTTCTGCCTTTTCATGGCAATAGAGGTAGTTGCGGGAAGCTGGTGCATGTGTCATCTGGGTGAACGTCCCTTCTTGCTGGTTTGTGACCTTCCTCTCCTGGGAGAACAGCGACCCCTAGCGGCTTGTGCTGGGCAGGTGTGCGCAAACGGGGTTTCTAATTCTTGCCCGGCCGCTGTGAAAGAAGTCCTGCCCTGCTGCCTCAGGCTGCTGCTCCACTATTGCGGAGCGGCATCGGGGGAAACGGGCGGCAGGCTGTTTATCTCCGTGAGGGGCCTACGAGCTGCACTGCCGCCCAGGGGGTTAGGGCGCCTGGAATTCCCTGGGATTTCCAGCTGCTGGGCTAAGTGTCCTGGGATGTTTCTGTCCAGCTGTGGAGTCCCTGTCCCTTTAAGTCTTTCAGAAAGCACTCACTTTTCTTTGTCCCATGGGCGCCAGCTGCGGGGACCCACTCACAGGTTTTACTGTCCCGTTTCCCTAGTACCCAGCACCCCACACACTGTGTGTCTGTGCTCTGGTGCAGATGGCTAGGGCTGGGTGTTCAGCAGTCCTGGGCTCCCTCTCCCTCCCCGCTCCGACTTCTCTCCTCCCACTGGGAACTGGGGTGAGGGGTGCTTGGGTCCTGCTGGGCCGCGGCTTGTATCTTACCCTCTTCGCAAGGCGCTGGGTTCTCGCAGGTGTAGATGTAGCCTGGCTGTTGTCCTGTATCTTCTGGTCTCTCTTTTAGGAATAGTTGTATTTGTTGAATTTTCAAAAATATATATGGTTTTGGAAGGAGATTGCTGCTGCTCTACTCACACCGCCATCTTGGCTCTACCCCCCCTGCAGTTTTAAGTGGTGAAGAAAATTCCAGTCTCTGTAAGTGCAATCAAGTCATGCAATACCAGAAAGTCTTTATGGATTGAAAATTATCAAATCCAGTTCCAAATAATGAAAACATTTCACTGCAAATTATCTTCTCATTTTGTTGTAATTTTATTTACAAGGAAATGTCTCCTTTCAATAACAAGCCAAATAAATGTGAAAGTAATGTAAAACTTAAATTCATTATTCAAATGCATCACATGGTGTATCTTTTTTTTAATAAAAATAAGAATGGGAAAAACTGTTTTAGTAAACATCATAATTTCAGTTTAAATCTAAGTTCCCAAACACTCAGTCTATGCAGAGACAGTTTTTTGTTACTGAGTGACAGTTTGCTATTCTTCCTCTTGTGTCCATAACCCTACCTAATCTCAAACCATATTTTTATTTTTCAGAATTTTTCTCAAAGTAGATTTCGTATATGTTTTGCTTATATTGTTTGTGGTTTTTGTTTTTACTTATTCCATAATTTAGAAGAATTTCTTTCTGAAGTGCTTATAATAAAACAGCCTTCAGTAATTACAGTATCTGATTTAACCTCTGCCAAGAGTTTCTGCTGATTTCTGTATACAAGGATATATACAGTAATATGAGAAAATAATCTTTTTCTCAAATATGAGAAAAATCCGTCATTTACCTCTATGCAGACATATCTCCAAGAATGCTTATATCATTACCAGTTTTAAATTGCCAATCTAATGGCATATTTCATGGGGAGAAAATGACATGGGTCCTCAAAGGAGCCAGATTTTCTCTATGATTTTTCATATATTCCAAAGCATGGGTGGTGATTTTTTTCATATTACAAACACAGGATCATTTTGTGGAATTCCAGGCTTTTCGAGCAGTCCCTCAGCTCTTCTTTTTTCATTCTCACATATCAAGCTACATTTCATATTCTTATATTTTTTAACAGACTTGGATGTTACTTTGAGTAATCATCATCTGAATTCTGTCACCTTCAGACAGAAATATTTGCTTACATTTTGCCTCATTTGGTTTATCATTCTTCCTCCCCGCCACCCCCCGCAAATGCATGCATGCAGTTAAGTGTGCACCTCCTTCTTTCTAAGTCATTGGAAAATAAATTAGACCCTTGCAAATACATTTCTGTGTATTTCCTAATGACATGCTCTTATGTAACTACAGTAAAATTATCAAAAACGGGAAGTTTTAGCATATATCCATTACACTGTCTAATCTGAAGTCCATGTTCAAGTTTTGTCAGCTGTCTTGATACTCTATTTTATAACTGCTTTTCCCTAGCCAAGATCCAATCCAGGGTCACACAGTACATGTAGTTGTCATATTTCTTTAGTCTCTTTTAATCTCAATATTTGTCTTTCCTGACTCTACTATTTCAATGACACAGGCCGGTTATTTTGTAGAATGTCCTTCAGCTAAAGTTTGTTTGATGTTCCCTGTGATTAGAGTCAGCATTTTTGGCAGGAATACCACCAAGTGATGTAGACTTCTCAGTACATCATGCCAGAAAGCACATGAGGTCAGTGTGCTCCAATATTAGTGATGTTGACTTCTTATCACTGGTAAAGGCCCTAGTTTCTCCACTTCAGAGTTACTGTTTCTTGGGTTTCTTTTGTTGGTTACTAACTTAAATAAAGACAGGTACTGATTAATTAGACCTTGGATTATTTTATGTTCTCTGTGCAGCTCGAGATGCTGCTGTGCAAAAGATCGAGACTATTATTAAGGAGCAATTCACACTTGAAATGAAGAATAAGGAACATGAAATTGAAGTCATTGACCAGGTATAATGATAATAGGTTTTAAAAAAAACAATAACAAAGCTATTGAAAAAAATCTACATGATGAATTGAAAAAGTCTGTTGAGATAATATCATGGTTTGTTTTTTCCCCTTTGCTGTTCTTTTTAAAAGGAGTGTTCTTATTTTGGAAAAAAAGACATATGCTTTTTTTTCTTTACATGAGCTTGCAGAAAAAGGTAAACAAAATAATTACTGGAAATTCCATCCCAAAAGATAATTCCTCTTTGCTCTTGTGCTCCATGTCTTGGTGGCCATTTCTCAATGATTACACATATATACACATAATTATACATAATAGTATATTTCTATACCCTTGCAAACATCGTCATTTGTCATTCTCTTAAATCTTCTGCCAATCTAGTAAGTGGAAAATGGTCATTTTTATTTGCCTTTCTTTGATTATTAAAGAAGTAGGGCTTCTTGGGTTATTTCTTGTTTAATGAATTGTTTGTTTATCTCTTCCATTACTCCACTTTTTTAAGTAACAAGTTAACCTTTGTGTTTAGCGACTGATTGAGGCTAGAAGGATGATGGATAAACTTCGTGCCTGCATTGTCGCAAATTACTATGCTTCTGCAGGACTTCTAAAAGTTGCTGAGGTAAGTTTTCCTCATATGCAGTCATTTCTGGCTACCCGTGTTTGTTGTGTGAAGGGGACATTAGGGTTGATGTAGAATCCCTGCCTTTGAAATATTTCTTATATTAATGTTTAGAATTCAAGAAGCCTAGCCTACCTTCCTGGGAATATACAGAAACTTATTACTTTCAGCCATAATCCTTTAGTCACACCTCTCTGCATTGTCAGTAATCCTAACATTTTTTTCCCTTTTATTTAATCCCTCTCCTAATATTATTTAGTACTGTTGCCAGCCTTTTCATATGCAGAGGTAAGTAAGATCGTATTCTAACTTGTCTTAGTCCTCATTTGATTGTGGTTGTGCCTTAGAGCAAGTTATAGATCTGTTGATTTTCCTCTTGAGTTTTTACTGCTAACGAACAGCAATTTTTAGTTTCAATAGATTTTCCCTATTCAGGAAGCCCTGATATTTTTCCCCCTACTTTTCATGAAAAATTTCAAATACACAGAAAAGGTGAAATAAGTACCTGTTTATACATCACGTAGATTCAACAGTTTTAACATTTTGCCATATTTGCTTTATCTATCTTATTTTTTTCTGGAACATTTGAAAATAAGTTTTAGGCATCAGGACACTTCATCCCCGAATACTTTATGATGTATTTCCTAAAGGACATTGTTCTATGTAGTCACGATACCTAGGAGAATGATTCCCTGATATTATCAGATAACCATCCATATTCACTCACATTTTCCCAGTTGTCCCCAAAATATCTTTTAAAGCTGATTTTTCTGAACTAGGATCAAATCATTCTTTATGGGCTACATTTGGCTATTTTGTTTCTCTAGACTTATTTTATCTAGAAAGATTCTTCCACCCTTTTCTCCCATGTTACTGACTTATTTGAAGAGACCAGGCCATTTATCTTACAGAATGGCCCACATTTGGGATTAATTCTTTTCCTTGGGCTATTCCTTCATTCCCTGTATTTTTCTGTAAGTTGGAAATCAGGTCAAGTCTTAATTAGATTAAGGTCAGAATTTTTTGGAGATAATACCTAGTAGGTGGTGCTGTATACCTCATATTATATTACATCAGGAGACATAATAATCAAGTTGTCCTACTGTTAGTGGTATTAGGTTTAATCACTTGGCTAGTGTGGTTGCCACTAGATGACTCCAGTCATAAAGGAATGGGGATAGATTGAACTGAAACAACTGTTTTTTCGTGTTTGACATTTTAATGATTTCAACCTCTTATTCTTTTATAATTTTTTAAAAATTATTCCATTAGAATTAGGTAACTCTTCTCTTGAACAGTACTGGCTCAGTGAGAGGGTGGAAGGCCTGGGGGTAGGTGTGATGGTGTACTGCTTTGTATCATTCCCTGAGATTTTTATAGCTGGGAGGTACCTGTCATATTTAGGCTTTCATGTCATCTCCATGGAGCTTAGGGTACCTGGTATTGGTGATACTCCTGATACTGTCTTAGAGAAATCTGTAATGTTATTTGAGTCTAAGCTTAAATGGTAGATTAGTTTCTTCTGTAGGAGTTTCTAGAAAACATTAGAGTCTGAACTACTTTTCTAGAGCTACCATAACAAATTACCACAAGCTTGGTGGCTTAAAACAGCAGAAATTTGTGATCTCATGATTCTGGAGGCTAGCAGTCCAAAATCAAAGTATTGGCTGGGCCAAGCTCCCTTTGAAGGCTCTAAGGAAGAATTCTTCCTTGTCTTCTGTCTTCTGGTGGATACTGGCAATCCTTGTGTTCCTTGGCTTGTAGCTACATCACTCCAATTTCTGCCTCTATCTTCACATGAACTTTTTCCCTCTGTGTGTCTTCTCTGTTTCTGTGTTCAAGTTTCCTTTTTCTAAGAATGCTAGTCATTGGATTAGAACCCTAATCCCGTATGACTTTATCTTAACTTGATTACATTGCAAAGACCCTATTTCCAAAAAGTCACATTCCCAAGTTCAGGGTAGACATGAATTTTTGGGAGACACTATTCAACCCAAGACAGATTCTGATGGCATTAGTTGTATTGATACTGGATTCAGCAAGATGGGCGTCATAAGCTTGCAGCTGCATGGCATAGGACTCTAGCCACTGTGTTTGAAGAACTGTATTCATTTAATATTTTGTTACCTTTTATTTATTTACCATTAGCAGTTCTCGACTGTGTTGTTTGATGGTCTAGAAATGTACTGATTCTTATCCTGTTACACTCTGATTAGAATTTATTCAAGGATATCTACATTTATCTATTATGACCTGCCATTTATTTTTAGTTTGCTATAACAAAATATATTTACAGCTCTAAAAAAACCTTTATTAGTGAAATATAACAACTTTCTTGCTTTGACCCTGAAACACTAGTCTCAGCTTCCTTTTTCTCACTAAAATAATTATTTTCACCATTCCTAAAAAAGCTGGGTTTCCCAAGAAGGTAAACACAGTGTATCATGTAACAGAATAGACAGTATTTTGTATCCAAGTAACAAGATACAGAATAACAGCCTAGGCTTCAGTACTGGACTGAGGGCAAACTTTATATATCAATATTAATAATTTAAGCATTCTATACTATATTTTACTCCTATATGGGAGCCATTTTACATAACATTTTTTAAATCTTTATTATAGGAATGTTTTATTAGAACAGGTGGTATGTTTGTGTAAAGTAGTGTGAGGCTTATTTTTTTTAAGTCAGATCTTCCTTTCCATATGTTACATTTATTTTTCATTTACCTTCAGAGGACTTGGCATCTTTAGTTTCTAGTGTTAGGACCTTTACATAATTATTTTCACTCTCTAGTTTTTGTTTTGTTGGCTTAAACCACATTAAGGAGTAGGGACTTGATTTTATGGGTGTGGGGAGATTTTGAAGGATTTGGAAACATCAGTATTTTCCCTACTTTTGGTGGCTTTGATTAAAAGTTTGTTTTTTGCTCTTTCATTTTTGCAGGGATCAAAGACATATGATACAATGGTTTTTAATCATCCTGCTATCAAGAAATTTTTGGAGTCACCATCTCGGTCATCATCTCCTGCCAATCAGAGATCAGAAACACCGTCAGCCATTCATTCTGAAAGTGATTCTTTATCTCAACACAATGACTTCTTATCTGACAAAGACAATAACAGCAATATGGATATAGAGGAAAGGCTCACAAGCAGCACAGAACAGAGACCAAGCCGAAATACTGGAAGGGTATAGTTGGATGGATGGGAGGGAGCCAAAGGAGAAGGGACCTGGTGCTTACTAAGTATGCACAAATTATCTCATTTAACCATTATGGGACTGCTAGTCAATAAGTGTATCCTTTTTACAGATGGAAACTGAGTCTTGATGAGGTTAAAGTTATATTTGTCCGTAAGTATAAGAACTGAGAATTCAACCAATGTCTTTTTGACTTTAGAATTCAGGGCACCCATGCATGGCATACCTCATAGATGCCATTCATGTAGATATGAAAGAAACCTTGAGGAGTTGGCAGTGCTTTTACTTTCCCCAAGATCTTTCTTGTCTGTCATGTTTATTCTCTGAAGAGTGATTGCTCTTCAGCATTTTATTCTGTGAAAACTTTATATTCTAAGATGGTTTAGTAACTTTAGGAGGAAATTTGACAAATAGTAAGTAGAATTGAAAACCATTTATCCCTCTTTCATCTTGCCAATTTTTTATTTGTGTTCCCATCTCAAGGTGTTCTGAAATTCTTGGTATGATATTTAGGATAGAATCCTTTTTGGATGAGACCAATGATTTTTCTCAGCCAGCTGTTCTGTAATAGAGGAAGTTTGCAGGGTGCTTTCCACATACTCGGGCATCAAGGATTTGATTTATTTTTGATAAAAATAAAAATTGAAAATGTTTCTGTTTATAAATTTTTATACATTCATTGTTGAAAATTTCAAACTACTGAAAAGTAAAAAAGAATAGAAAAGTCATTCATAATGCTGCTACCCCAAAATCAGAACTCTTAATATTTGAATTTACTTGTCTTCATACTGGGCAAATACTGTTTTTTTTTTTATTTTAATTAAAAAGATTTTAGGTCATATAGGTCATAGGATTAAGAAACCACCTTTTATGTAACATATATGCTCACGTTTTTATAACAAATATTTAATTCTTACTATGTACCAGGCACTTTACTAAGAACTGTACAAAACAGTCATGTGAGATAGGTTCTATTATTATTATTTTTATAAATTGAGACTGTGAAGTTAAGTAATTACCAAAGATTACACATCTAGTCAATAGAAGAGCCAGGATTTTAAACCCTGGCAGTATATCTTCATAGACTATCTCCAGCATAAAACTTTAAATTAACCATTATGTTTATATTATTTATACTGAAAAAAGTTTAGTAGTACAGAAAGTTGAAAAGAAAGTCAATTCCATTGACTTTCTGCCCCATTTCCATTTCCCAGACGCAACACTGTAATAGTTTCTTATATATCCTTCGACATCCTGTTTGCATATATGAAGCAGATGTGTATGACTATTAAAAGCACACACACATACACAAGCAGTTACACTATACAAGCTTTTTATATAAACTAATGAAAAAAATATAGTAAAATTATTGCTTCATGCTCTGAGAGGTGCCACAAAGCCAGAGAATTTTGCAACTAAAAAAAAATTGTGAGTTACTCCATTCATATTTTATATGATTTTGTTGTTTCTGCTTATGGAAAATTGTCCAAATTGAAAATGAAAATTGATTATAATTTCTTTCAGGACAGTTCTAGTATTACTGGCTCCCATAAAACAGAGCAGTGGAATGCTGATCTTACAGGAGATGAGACTTCACGACTTTTTATAAAGAAAACAATAGTAGTGGGCAATGTGTCCAAGTGAGTATCCACTTGAATTGTCTCATTTTCAGTCATCCATTTATTTTAATATTCTGGCATACTACTATCAGTCTTAATAGGAGGAAAAGGCATTAGGATTCTTTTTCCCAAGCTCTTAGTTGTTGTAAAAGTAAAGCAAGGTCCAAAGACTTGAGATTGTGCTTCTGTGTCTGCTAGTCTTTAACATAGAGTAAAATTGTTCTTATAAAAATTTCTAAGACATGAGTTTTTACACAAATGGTATATTTCATCAAGCATGTCAGGGTGAACAAGTTTGGAGGAATTTTTTACTTTTTTTGACCTACTTGTGTTGTTAGGGGCCTTAGCTAATTCCTAAAAATGTTTATTTGGTTGTCCAGACTGAAAAGTTTTAAATTTATAACAAAAGGTTGCAGAGCAGGTCTTAAAGACAGAATTCCTCCTATCTAGTGGGAGCATCATCATTTTTACCAAGTATCTAGGAATGAATAAAGACATGATAAATCCTCAGATAGCATAATAATTTATTTCCTCACAAAGTCTTACTTGCCCTTCTTCTCCCTTATTAGGTATATTTCCTCCTTGCTGTCTTGTCATTTTTGCTATATATGTCATTTCCTGTTTTTATATATAGTGTTAGGACCTTTACATAATTATTTTCACTCTCTAGTTTTTGTTTTGTTGGCTTAAACCACATTAAGGAGTAGGGACTTGATTTTATGGGTGTGGGGAGATTTTGAAGGATTTGGAAACATCAGTATTTTCCCTACTTTTGGTGGCTTTGATTAAAAGTTTGTTTTTTGCTCTTTCATTTTTGCAGGGATCAAAGACATATGATACAATGGTTTTTAATCATCCTGCTATCAAGAAATTTTTGGAGTCACCATCTCGGTCATCATCTCCTGCCAATCAGAGATCAGAAACACCGTCAGCCATTCATTCTGAAAGTGATTCTTTATCTCAACACAATGACTTCTTATCTGACAAAGACAATAACAGCAATATGGATATAGAGGAAAGGCTCACAAGCAGCACAGAACAGAGACCAAGCCGAAATACTGGAAGGGTATAGTTGGATGGATGGGAGGGAGCCAAAGGAGAAGGGACCTGGTGCTTACTAAGTATGCACAAATTATCTCATTTAACCATTATGGGACTGCTAGTCAATAAGTGTATCCTTTTTACAGATGGAAACTGAGTCTTGATGAGGTTAAAGTTATATTTGTCCGTAAGTATAAGAACTGAGAATTCAACCAATGTCTTTTTGACTTTAGAATTCAGGGCACCCATGCATGGCATACCTCATAGATGCCATTCATGTAGATATGAAAGAAACCTTGAGGAGTTGGCAGTGCTTTTACTTTCCCCAAGATCTTTCTTGTCTGTCATGTTTATTCTCTGAAGAGTGATTGCTCTTCAGCATTTTATTCTGTGAAAACTTTATATTCTAAGATGGTTTAGTAACTTTAGGAGGAAATTTGACAAATAGTAAGTAGAATTGAAAACCATTTATCCCTCTTTCATCTTGCCAATTTTTTATTTGTGTTCCCATCTCAAGGTGTTCTGAAATTCTTGGTATGATATTTAGGATAGAATCCTTTTTGGATGAGACCAATGATTTTTCTCAGCCAGCTGTTCTGTAATAGAGGAAGTTTGCAGGGTGCTTTCCACATACTCGGGCATCAAGGATTTGATTTATTTTTGATAAAAATAAAAATTGAAAATGTTTCTGTTTATAAATTTTTATACATTCATTGTTGAAAATTTCAAACTACTGAAAAGTAAAAAAGAATAGAAAAGTCATTCATAATGCTGCTACCCCAAAATCAGAACTCTTAATATTTGAATTTACTTGTCTTCATACTGGGCAAATACTGTTTTTTTTTTTATTTTAATTAAAAAGATTTTAGGTCATATAGGTCATAGGATTAAGAAACCACCTTTTATGTAACATATATGCTCACGTTTTTATAACAAATATTTAATTCTTACTATGTACCAGGCACTTTACTAAGAACTGTACAAAACAGTCATGTGAGATAGGTTCTATTATTATTATTTTTATAAATTGAGACTGTGAAGTTAAGTAATTACCAAAGATTACACATCTAGTCAATAGAAGAGCCAGGATTTTAAACCCTGGCAGTATATCTTCATAGACTATCTCCAGCATAAAACTTTAAATTAACCATTATGTTTATATTATTTATACTGAAAAAAGTTTAGTAGTACAGAAAGTTGAAAAGAAAGTCAATTCCATTGACTTTCTGCCCCATTTCCATTTCCCAGACGCAACACTGTAATAGTTTCTTATATATCCTTCGACATCCTGTTTGCATATATGAAGCAGATGTGTATGACTATTAAAAGCACACACACATACACAAGCAGTTACACTATACAAGCTTTTTATATAAACTAATGAAAAAAATATAGTAAAATTATTGCTTCATGCTCTGAGAGGTGCCACAAAGCCAGAGAATTTTGCAACTAAAAAAAAATTGTGAGTTACTCCATTCATATTTTATATGATTTTGTTGTTTCTGCTTATGGAAAATTGTCCAAATTGAAAATGAAAATTGATTATAATTTCTTTCAGGACAGTTCTAGTATTACTGGCTCCCATAAAACAGAGCAGTGGAATGCTGATCTTACAGGAGATGAGACTTCACGACTTTTTATAAAGAAAACAATAGTAGTGGGCAATGTGTCCAAGTGAGTATCCACTTGAATTGTCTCATTTTCAGTCATCCATTTATTTTAATATTCTGGCATACTACTATCAGTCTTAATAGGAGGAAAAGGCATTAGGATTCTTTTTCCCAAGCTCTTAGTTGTTGTAAAAGTAAAGCAAGGTCCAAAGACTTGAGATTGTGCTTCTGTGTCTGCTAGTCTTTAACATAGAGTAAAATTGTTCTTATAAAAATTTCTAAGACATGAGTTTTTACACAAATGGTATATTTCATCAAGCATGTCAGGGTGAACAAGTTTGGAGGAATTTTTTACTTTTTTTGACCTACTTGTGTTGTTAGGGGCCTTAGCTAATTCCTAAAAATGTTTATTTGGTTGTCCAGACTGAAAAGTTTTAAATTTATAACAAAAGGTTGCAGAGCAGGTCTTAAAGACAGAATTCCTCCTATCTAGTGGGAGCATCATCATTTTTACCAAGTATCTAGGAATGAATAAAGACATGATAAATCCTCAGATAGCATAATAATTTATTTCCTCACAAAGTCTTACTTGCCCTTCTTCTCCCTTATTAGGTATATTTCCTCCTTGCTGTCTTGTCATTTTTGCTATATATGTCATTTCCTGTTTTTATATATCTTTCCCAAATCACTGGACTCTCTCTAGGGTAGAAAGTGTGTCCTGTTTTTTTTCTTTCTTTACAGTAGTTGGTGTTCAGTAAATATTTGATGAATAAATTGACATATTTGTGAAAATTGTAAGTAGATTCAGTTATTGAAAATAAAGAATTTGGAATTTCAGTAACTATCTGGGAGAAAAAAAAAATCAGATGAGGGCAAAAAATCTTCCAAACTCCAGTTAGTGGACCACTAATAGCATTTAAATAAAGGCATAAAATACAATTAAGGCAGTTAGATTTCTGCTTTTTAGATTATTTTAGAGTTAGCATGATTCTGTTAGCATGGACTAATAGACCATGTGAAGTGTTAGGATTAGGGTCTTAACTATATAGTACAAGACAGGTCAGCCTAGAAAAGGCCAAAACTGGAAATCCAGATAGACCCACCTGGCCACGAGAGGACTGGGGACAGACAGACATTGACATTTGCAAACAACTACGCCTAGTTTGTAGGGTTTTGAGGTTTTTTTTTAATCAGCAAGAACGAAAATACTGGGTAGTCATGGATTTTAAGCAGAGAGGGAATGATTGCCATGAAAATTGTAAAGTCCTTGTTTTTCTGGAAGAGGGTTAAAATACTGATTTGCTTTAACTTTGTTAAGAATGCTTATTAGAGTATCTAAGAAACCAACTAAAAAAACAGACAGAGAGATTTAAACTTTAGTAAAGAGCAGGTGGGAAACTGAATGAAAAAAGAGAAAAACCCACCTGATTGCAAAAGAAGGTAAAGCAGGCACAGGAGGGATGTGGAGAAGAGGGGAAAAAAAGACAATAGTATAAAATACTTACCAACAACAAATCTAAATATATCAACAATCTTAAAAAAATGCATAGGGATTTAACTATTAAAAGGCAGAAATTATTATGAGGTAAAGTAACCTAAAACTCAGCTCTCTGTTGTTTATCAGTGATATATCTAAATACAGAAAGACTGAAAATAAGAAGCAAATAGGTTAAGATACAACTAGCAGATACTAACCAAAGGAAACCAGTGTAGCATGTTAATGTCAGGGAAAACAGACTAAGACCAAAAGCATTCAAAGAGGTAAAGATAGTTTTTATATTTATATAATGGTAAAAGGTTCAAGTCACCAAGAAGATAAAAAAATTCATAATTGTAAGTAGATTCAATATGTACTTGATAACATAGTCTTAAATGCCTGAACCAAAATTGACAGAACCACAAGGATAAATTGCCAAATATACTGCTATACTGAGAGATTTAATGGGTAGATCAAGCAATACCTGTATGAATATAAAAGATTTGAATATCAGTTAACAAAGCTTGATCTAATGTACAGATATTGAGTATTACACAAAACAATTGAAAAAGAAGCATTTTTAAGTAAACAATGAACATTTATGAAAATGGATTACACAGTAAGCCATAAAGCAAGCTTGAAGAAATATCAAAGTACTTGTATCATACAGACTATTTTTTCTGACCACTAGTGTGGTAAAGTTAGAAATCAGTGACAATAGAATAGCTAGAAAACCTCTACTGTCTAGAAATTCATATTAGAAATTCATTCCATATCTTGACTGTTGTAAACAATGCAGTGAACATGGGAGTGCAGGTAGTTCTTTGATGTCCTGTTTTCATAGTCCTTTCATGTACACACAGAAATGGGTAGTTCTATTTTTAGGTTTTTGAGGAACTTCCGTAATGTTTTCCATACTGGCTGCACCACTTTACATTGTTACCAAAAGTACACAAATGTTCCCTTTTCTCCACATTTTTTACAACATTTGTTACCTCTTGTATTTTTGATGGTAGCCATTCTGACTGGTATAAGGTGGTATCTTATTATGATATTGATCTTCATTTCTCTTGTGATTAGTGATGCCGAACACCTTGTAATGTGTCTGTTAGCCATTTGTGTTTCTTCTCCGAAAAAATGTCTATTCAGTTACTCTGCCCATTTTTTAATCAATTTTTTTGTTTTTTTTTTGTTTTTGGCTGTTGTGTGCATTCCTTATACATTTTGGATATTAACGCCTTATCAGATGTATCATTTGAAAATATTTTTCCCCATTCCAAAGGCTACCTTTATTTTGTTAATGGTTTCCTTTCCTGTGCAGAAGCTTTTTAAGTTTGATGTAGTCCCACTTATTTTTGCTTTTATTGTCTTTGCTTTTGTTGTCAAATTCAAAAAAATCTTTTTCCAGACCATTGGTCACATTACCCCTTATGTTTTCTTCTAGGAGTTTTATGATTTGGGGTCTTAATTTTAAGCCATTAATCCATTTTGAGTTGTTTTTTGTGTATGGTCTAGTTAGGGATCCAGTTTCATTCTTTTGCCTGTGGCTGTTCCAGTTTTCCCAGCACCATTTATTAAAGAGACTTCATTTCCCCATTGTATATTTCAGCTCCTTTGTCATAAATTAATTGGCCATATAGATGTGGGTTTATTTCTGGGCTTTCTGTTCCATTTATCTATGTGTCTTTTTAATGCCAGTACCATACTGTTTTAGTTACTATAGCTTTGTAGTGTAGTTTGAAACCAGGAAGTTTGATGCCCCCAGCTTTGTTCTTTTTCCTTAAGATTGCTTTGCCTACTTGTCCCGTACAGATTTTCAGATTATTTTTTCTTTTTCTTTGAAAAATGCCACTGGGATTTGGTAGGGATGCCTTGAATCTGTGTATTGCTTTGGGTAGTATGGACATTTTAACAATATTAATTCTCCCAGTGTGTGAGCATGGAATATCTTTCCATTTATTTGTGTCATCTTCAGTTTCTTTCATCATTGTCTTATAGTTTTCAATCTACAGGTCTTTTACCTCCTTGGCTAAATTTATTAAGTATTTTATTATTTTTGATGCTGTTTGATGCCATCTTTCTGATAGTTTGTTTAGTTTGTAGTGCATAGTTGATGGTTGTAGTTGTATAGTTAGTATGTTGATTTTATATCCTGCAACTTTACTTTCCTTGTTTCTTCTATGAGTTTTTGAGTGGAGTTTTGAAGGTTTTCTATATACAGTATCATGTTACCTGCAAATAGAGACACTTTTACTCCTTCCCTTCCAATTTGGGTGCTTTTTACTTCTTTTTCTTGTCTGATTGTTTGTCTAGGACTGGCAGTACTGTGTTGAATAAAAGTGGAGAGAGTGGGCATCCTTACCTTGCTCTTGATCTTAGAGAACGAGCTTTCAGTTTTTCACCATTGAGTATGATGTCAGCTGTGAGCTTGTTCTGTATGGCCTTTATTTTGTTGAAGTATGTTTCCTCTGTACCCAGTTTATTGAGTTTTTGTCATGAATGGATATTAAATTTTGTCAAATGCTTTTTCTTCATCTGTTGAGATGACCATATGATTTTGATCCTTCCTTTCATTGATGTAATATTACTGTCATATTCATTTGCAGATACTGAGCCATCTTTGCATGCCCAGAATAAATTCCACTTGATCATGGTGTATGATCCTCTTACTGTACTGTTGAATTTTGTTTGCTAATATTTTTTTGAGGATTTTTGTGTCTTTGTTTATCAGAGATATTGGTCTATAATTTTCTTTTCTTATAGTGCCCTTGTCTGGGTTTGGTATCAGTGTAATACTGGCTTAGTAAAATTGAATTGGTAAGTGTTCCCTCCTCTTAAGTATTTTTTGGAAGAGCTTTAGAAGGACTGGTAACAGTCTTTAAATGTTTAGTAGAATTCTCCCTTTATGCCTTCTGATCCTGGAATTTTCTGTGTTGAAAGTTTTTTGATTACTGGTTCAATCGCCTTACTGTCATTCTATTCAGATTTTCTATTTCTTCATGATTCAGTCTTGGTAGGGTGTGTTTCTAAGGTCTTTATCCATTTCTTCTATGTTGTCTAATTTTTTGGCATATAATTGTTCATAGTCTTATGACCCTGTATTTGTGTGATATCAGTTGTAATGTCTTCTCTTTCATTTATAATTTTGAGTTCTCTCTTTTTCTTCACAAGTATAGCTAAAGGTGTATCTATTTTATCTTTTCAAAAAAGTAGCTATTACTTTCTTTGATCTTTTCAGTTGTCTTCTTAATCTCTATTTTACTTATTTGTATTCTGATCTTTATTTTTCTTCCTTCTACTAACTTTAGGCTAAATTTGTTCTTTTTCTAGTTCCTTGGGATATAAATTAGGCTGTTTATGTGAGAACTTTCTTTTTTCTTGATGTAGGCATTTATCGCTATAAATGGCCTTGTTAGAACTCCTTTTACTGCATCCCTTAAGTTCTAGTATGTTATATTTCCATTTTCAATTGTCTCAAGATATTTGATTTCTTCTTTGACCCTCTGGTTGTTCAGTAACATGTTGCTTCATTTCCACATCTTTGGGAATTTCCCACTTTTCTTTTAATTGATTTTTAATCTTGTTTTAAGTAGGAGCTAATTGTTCTGTTAAGTTTTGAAGGAAAAAAATTCAAAACTTTTCTTCTCTTTTAGGTATATACCCCCTGATAAGAGAGAAGAAAATGACCAATCAACTCACAAGTGGATGGTGTATGTCCGAGGGTCTCGTAGAGAACCCAGCATTAATCATTTTGTCAAGAAAGTTTGGTTCTTCCTTCATCCCAGCTATAAACCAAATGACCTTGTGGAAGTTAGGTAAGCACACTTGCATTATTTAACCTAAGATGTACAGGTTTATTGAAGCAGAAGACAAGTGATTTAACTTGAGAATACTCCCTTGAAATTCTTGTATTGTTAATTTACTCAGCTTTTGCTTTTAGTCTCAATGGAGTTTTAACTGTCGTTCCCACTTGCAGATTACTGTCTCAGTCAGCAGGCACTGTTCCCTACTGCCACATTGGTACCATATGAATTGTATGAGCTCCTCTAGAAATAGCTAAACTTGTTCGTATAGTACAGATAAATATAAAAATGTTACTGCTTTTTATGAGTAGCAGAATATAATATAATTGTATTATGTATTGGAGTCTTAACATTTCAGAAATACTTAATGTTTGTTGACATTAAGTTCCCCATGATCTCACCCTTTCAGAAGTAACCCCTAAATAATGTTTATCCCACATATATTAGCCTAGTATAGTTGCTGGTTGTTATTTCACAAAGATGGAATGACAATATATATACTGTTCTGAAATTTATTTCATTTAGGTGTATTCCTTACATCTTTATGTGATGTTATGTATCACATGTCATGTATTATTGTGGTTTGTGTTCAGTAAAATCTCCGATATACCCAGCCCTCTTCAGAAAATTGTCTTGACTCCTGACTCTTAAACAAAACAAAACTATCTCCTGAGAACAGCACTTCTCCTGAAAACCTGCAAGTGACATCTGCATTTTTCTCTCACACACTATGTACCATTGAGTCCAGGGTGACGTGTGTGTCTGTTGCTCATATTTGTGGCTTCCAGACCTTTTCCCTTCTTCTCCCTAAAAAAAACTCACTCCTTTGGAACACTGTATGATCTCTTCCTCCTTGCTGGAGGCATCTATGATTTGCCTGTCATTTTCCTCTTTCAGAAATGGTTTTAGCACCTAGTGTACTGGTTTTCTCCTGCCAGTATGCTCTTGCCATCATTCATAAGGACTTTGACATGCATATGGCCAGTTCATTCAAAACCTGATCTCTCAGTGCATTGATTTCCTCACTTTAAAAATGAGATGATGGTAGTGATATACCGTAGAACCTAAGCTGAGTAAGAGAGAAGGAAATTACATAAGAGGAGTGATGGGTAGTGAAAATTGATGTGCGCAAGAAGTCCGAATGGGATCAAAGAATACGTGGGTCAGGAATGGGGCTGGAAATATAAGAGTTGGTGGTCAGAAAGTAGAATACTTGGAAATGAAATTTTTTATAGCTAATACAGCATGTTTATCTTCTTTATATAGGTAATAGTTGTTCCAGTATCAATTACCAGCTGATGTATCCTTTCCCTACATTTGATACATAACTAAATTACCATGCAAATGTGTATGTGATGTTAGGCTCTGTTATATTTACTCCTGTACCAGTATTATACTATTTAATTGTTTTGCTTTATAGCATATTCTGATACTTAGTAACGTATGTTCCCTTGATGAAGATTATTGTAAAAATTTTTTCTTGGCCATTCTTGAGTATGTAAGTTGCTCCAGACTACTTTAGAATCTAGGTGTCAAGTTATGAGTTCCATTGAATTAATTATTTATTTTAACATTTTTTATGATATTGAATCTTTCTATCTCCTGTCTATTCAGGAAAATCAATCAGTGTAATAGTTTTCCAGTGCAAACAAGATATTTTCTTTTGTTGTTTATAAAACTTCCCTCATTTTGTCGACAAATTTTACTGGGTAGAACCTCAGAAAAGTGTTTGTACTCTGTTTCATTCCAATAATAGAGCCTAATTGGGAAAGGAGCAATTTCATTCTTAGGCTCTGAAACATTAATGTTGAAAAGATCTTGTCTCTGATTTGGCTTAGTACCTGATTCATGAAACCTTTCGAAAATGTCCTATGCAGCTCATCTAGCCTCTCCTAGAATTTCACTGGTGACCTAGACTTGTTTTCTCTGCCAGGAGCACCATCTTCCTGCTGTCTTTCTTTATGCATATGCAAACCCATACATGTATGCACACACACACACACACACACAGAGTATAGCTATCTTTCTACATGTCTGCACTTTATTGTTCAAGACACAGCTCAGAGGTTACTTCTTTAATGAGTCCTTCTTAGGCCTACTTTCTTCCAGAAGTTAAATTACAGTAAATGATTATTTACTTGAATGCTTGGGGTATTAGCAGTATTTTATAGTTTAAGAGAGCTTAAGTAACAGTATTTTCTGAGTTGAGGTTTCCTGACTTCAAATGAGCCCAGTGTTTGAATACAAATATTTTAGTTATTGTGGTAAGAAACAGATGAGTTTAAAAAGTACTTAAAAAAGTACGAAAAGCTCTCTTGTCCCCTCCTGGCATGAGCCAGGAGCTCTTTCCTCTCACTTTACTTCTAAATAATAGCCTGTACCTTGCTCTCCTACAAAAAAAAAAAGTACTATGTCTATACAAATGTATATTTCAATATAAAAAAAAATGTTTTGATGTCCAGATCAGCAAGAAATCCCTTTACGTGGTAAAAATAAAGTACATGACCTTAGAGAAACATTTTAATATAAACCATGTGAATCAGTTAAAATGCATTAACCATACTTTTTATTGATGATAAATATCTGATTTACAAAAAATGGGATTAAAAACCCCTTATGTAAAACACTCAGTACTTAGCCATGCAAATGAATGCCTGTTTTATTTCTCAGTTCTCATTCCACAAATTGGAATTTATAGAGCACAGTGATTTCCTTTCAGTTGTGGAAAAGTATGCAGTAATATATGAAATTGTATTTACTAAGAAATCTTTACTAATCTGTAAGTACAGGTGTGGCAAATCATACTTATTAGGATGTGTTGTAACAAAGTCTAAGGAAATCCAAGGAAAAGAGCATACTATTGCTCCTCTTCACATTCCTCTTTTATGTTATACATCTGGAGTATCTTCTATTAATGGCACATGAACTTTGTGAATTTTCACATCATTGAAATAGCCTCTGACAGTTATTTTCTGTCTGATCTATGCCATTCTGACAGTACTGCATAAATTGGCCACTGTGATATATCTGACCAGTTAGTTTTTCACACCCTGTGAATCACACCATTACCACATACCTTTCCTGAGAACATATTTCCCCATACTTCATTAACTACAAAGTTATGATTTTTAAGTAGTATTTGGAAAGAGATCTTTGTATTCTTCTGGTATCCAAAACTCCTGGAGAAATAATTTGCTCTAATCAACCACACCTCTGTTTTGATAGCAAGTAACGGATACAAATCTATTATTATACTTACTAATTTACATGTATGTCTCACTAGATTCAGAGATTCTTGATGTTTGGGACCTTTTCTGGCTTGTCTTTTATATCCCCAGGGTCTAGCATCATGCCTAGCGTATAGTAAATGCTCATTTTGTGTTGAGTGAATTATTGAATTCATGACGTGAAGCATTCCATTTGTAGGTGGCTGATTGTTTGGAAGTTTTTATTTATATTGGACAGAGACTTAACTTCCTTTAACTAGTAAACAGTAACTTTCAAATGCCTTGTGATACCACACAAAATCATTAGAATCCCTTTTCCATGTGTCTGTTCAGATATTTTGAAATCTACTGTTGAGTCTCTTCCAATCTCATCCAAGCCAAATACCCACATTCGTTTCAGTTGTCACTCATGTGACTTTGTTTTGTGTTCCTTTGCTTCCAGGTTATTTTCTCTGACATACTCTGGGTAGTCTCTTGTCTTCTTAAAATATTCTTAGAACTGAACTTTAAACTCCAGGAATGGTGAAACCAGTATAAAGTAGGACAGAACATTGAGATGTGTCCTAGATTTAATTAACAGCTCTTTATGTTCTTTAAGATGTTTCTTGTATCAGGTATCTGAGGTAATTTGATGAGTAAGGGAGATCTTTTGCAGCAGCCTTGAAACCAGGGGTTAATCTTATCTCTGGACCAAAGTACATGTGTACTAAAACTGACATGCAGGAGGAATATGAAATATTTTTATAACAGAGCTATTCACAAGTATACTCATTAAGTAGTGAGTTCTCGGTCACTAGATGTGATACTGAAAGACTGGTTCGCTGTTTGAATGAATTAGTTGGGTGAGGAGTTGTACTCCATTCTGTATTTCCAATAAAGCCGTTTTTTCTAGCCCAGTATTCTGTGGGTTTTCTTTCTTGGTCACTGATACATTACATCTTCTATAAGGAATCTAGAAGTGTAGAAGTCTGTTCAGGGGAGGCTGACCTTTCACATATCCGTAGGTGATGTCTGTTAGTAGGTCTTAGATTCCTTTTTTGCTTCCAAAAATACAGCTAAAGAGGAATTTCCTGTTAAAAGCATTGTTCCTTTTTCCTGGCCTTTATGCTGTCTGTCTGTCTTCCCTGGCAGCAGTCCTTCCTGTCCATTCACTAGAGTTTATTTTAACTTATGTACATAAATTGAGGAACATAGCTAATTTACTATGTCCATTGTGAGAAAATTTGGCAAACAGTGTAATTGACACATATTGCAAAATGAATTTAGGCTATCCACTTAACTTTACAGGACTTTAAATGACCAAACCTGTCATCAGTAGGATTTCTTTTCATCATTCTCCTTATATCCACCATGCCTCTAGGCCCCACTGTATCTCTGGCCGTGGGTCCCTTTTCAGACCTCTCTCTCAAGGTGACCTTCTCATTTGACCCCAAGCCTCTTTTAATTTCTGTCTGAAACTGTACCAACATCATGGTTGCTTTTTTTTTTTTAATTTTTTATTAAGGTATGATTCATATACACTCTTATGAAGGTTTCACATGAAAAAACAATGTGGTTACTACATTTACCCATATTATCAAGTCCCCACCCATACCCCAATGCAGTCACTGTCCATCAGTGCAGCAAGTTGTCAGAGATCCACTATGTCCCTTCTCTGTGATACACTGTTCTCCCCGTGATCCCCCACAGCATGTGTATTAACATAATACCCCTCAGTCCCCTTCTCCCTCCCTCCGCACCCACCCTCCCACACCCCTCTCCTTTGGTAACCTCTGGTTCATTCTTGGAGTCTCTGAGTCTGCTGCCATTTTGTTCCTTCAGTTTTGCTTCATTGTTATACTACACAAATGAAGGAAATCATTTGGCATTTGTCTTTCTCCACCTGGCTTATTTCACTGAGCATAATATCCTCCAGCTCCAACCATGTTGTCACAAATGGTAGGATTTGTTTCTTTCTTATGGCTGACTAGTATTCCATTGTATATATGTACCACATCTTCTTTATCCATTCATCTACAGATGGACATATAGGTTGCTTCCATATCTTGGCTATTGTAAAAAGTGCTGCGATGAACATCGGGGTGCATATGTCTTTTTGAATCTGAGAAGTTGTATTCTTTGGGTATATTCCAAGAAGTGGGATTCTGGGGTCAAATGGTATTTCTAATTTTAGTTTTTTGAGGAACCTCCATATTGCTTTCCACAATGGTTGAACTAGCTTACATTCCCACCAGCAGTATAGGAGGGTTCCCCCTTCTCCACATCATCGCCAGCATTTGTTCTTAGTCTTTTCGATGCTGGCCATCCTTACTGGTGTGAGATAATATCTCATTGTGGTTTTAACTTACATTTCCCTGATGATTAGTGATGTGGAGCATCTTTTCATGTGTCTGTTGGCCATCTGAATTTCTTCTTTGGGGAACCGTCTCTTCATATCCTCTGCCCATTTGTTAATTGGGTTATTTGCTTTTTGGGTGTTGAGGTGTGTAAGTTCTTTATATATTTTGGATGTTAACCCTTTGTCAGATATGTCATTTACAAATATATTCTCCCATACTGTAGGATGCCTTTTTGTTTTGTTGATGATGTCCTTTGCCTTACAAAAACTTTTTAGTTTGATGTAGTCCCATGAGTTCATTTTTGCTTTTTTTTCCCTTTCTCGAGGAGATGGGTTCAGGAAGAAGTTGCTCATGCTTATATTCAGGAGATGTTTGCCTATGTTGTCTTCTAAGAGTTCTATGGTTTCATGACTTTCACTGAAGTCTTTAATCCATTTCAAGTTTACTTTTGTGTATGGGGTTAAACAATAATCCAAGTTTCATTCTCTTGCATGTAGCTGTCCAGTTTTGCCAACACCAGCTGTTGAAGAGGCTGTCATTTCCCCATTGTATGTCCATGGCTCCTTTATCATATATTAATTGACCATATATGGTTGGGTTTATATCAGGGCTCTCTAGTCTGTTCCATTGGTCTGTAGCTCTGTTCTTGTGCCAGTGCCAAATTGTCTTGATTACTGTGACTTTGTAGTAGAGCTTGAAGTTGGGGAGCGTAATTCTCCCAGCTTTTTTCTTCCTTCTCAGGATTGCTTTGGCTATTCAAGGTCTTTTGTGGTTCCATATGAATTTTAGGATGATTTTCTCTAGTTTGTTGAAGAATGCTGTTGGTATTTTGATAGGAATTTCGTTGAACCTATAGATTGCTTTAGGCAGGATGGCCATTTTGACAATATTAATTCTTCCCATCCATGAGCATGAGATGTGTTTCCATTTATTGTTATCTTCTTTAATTTCTCTCATGAGTGTCTTGTAGTTTTCAGAGTATAGGTCTTTCACTTCCTTGGTTAGGTTTATTCCTAGGTATTTTATTCTTTTTGATGCAATTGTGAATGGAATTGTTTTCCTGATTTCTCGCTCTGCTAATTCATTGTTAGTGTATAAGAATGCCACAGATGTCTGTGTATTAATTTTGTTTCCTGCAACTTTGCTGAATTCAGATATTAGATCTAGTAGTTTTGGACTGGATTCTTTAGGGTTTTTTATGTACAATATCATGTCATCTGCAAACAGGGACAGTTTAACTTCTTTCTTGCCGATTTGGATGCCTTTTATTTCATTATGTTGTCTGATTGCCATGGCTAGGACCTCCAGTACTATGTTGAATACAAGTGGAGAGAGTGGGCATCCTTGTCTTGTCCCTGATGTTAAAGGGAAATCTTTCAGCTTCTCGCTGTTAAGTATAATGTTGGCTGTGGGTTTGTCATATATGGTCTTTATTATGTTGAGGTACTTGGCCTCTATACCCATTTTGTTGAGAGTTTTTATCATGAATGGATGTTGGATTTTGTCAAATGCTTTTCAGCATCTATGGAGATGATAATGTGGTTTTTGTCCTTCTTTTTGTTGATGTGGTGGATGATGTTGATGGATTTTCAAATGTTGTACCATCCTTGCATCATGGTTGCTTTTTTTACTAACTCAACTGGTGATGAACAGGTTTCTTCCATCCAGGGCACTCTCGTATTCTTTGCTTTCTCTCTGGTTTATAACAAAACATTGCTTTTTTTACTATCCAGGGTTCTGTCATACTCAGGGATTTTTCCTTTCTTGGGCCTTCTCAGTAGCCTCTGGCTTTGTGCTTGCTTGATAAATTAGATCTATTGTTACTCCTCTCAAGTTGAACTCTGCTCTTACTGAATTCGTGTCTCTCCTTCATTTTCCAAAAATACATCCTGCTGTAAGTTCTTTATTCCTACAATCTTAGCGTCCTCTCTCATTACGACAATTCCAAGCCAGTGTGATTCATAATGAACATTTTCATTTTAAAACCTTCTTTCTTTCCCCCATTAACTTAAACCATAATGTTTTTGAGTATGTGAACATCTCTCAATTAAATTAAAATATTTTTATTATGGAAAGTTCCAAACATATACAAAAGTGGAGTTTGAACCCCATGTACCTAATGCCAATGATTAACAGTTTGCCAGTCTTTTTCATCAATTTTCCTTTTCCTTCCCTTCACAAATTATGTTTTGACTACAAATTCTCTAGCTCAATTAGCATTCACACACATTCCTCTCTATCCACTAAAATCACAGCCACTGTTTGGGGAAGATCATATTGTAAACATGATCTTTAAGTCCCCTTAGCAGACAGTTTCAAATAAATTGCTACTTTCAGATTGAGCATTTGTCATGTGTTTTGTTTTTGTCAAAGTAGAGGAATAAATATGAGTGTCTGGGGTAGGGAACCTGATACATGAAAGCCTATCAAGTAGCAGTCAAGGATTCTGGCTCTAATATTGTGACATGCATCAGATCACCTTCATTCCCTTTCTATGAAAATAATGACATTGGATTAAATGGTTTAAGTGTCTTAGCTCTAAGCTCTAAGTATTCAATAATTGAACATTTAATGTAGGTTTGAGTTGAATTTTTCTTTATTTAGCATCTTAGCAAAATTCAGCATATTGATTTAGCCTCAAATAGGAAATATAGATGATTGTGAGAAGGATGTGAATTTCTACTTTATCCATTATGAAAAACCTTTCCTCTCCAGAATAAAAGAATGCAGATTAATGTGTTAATATCTGCTTTTCCCTAGAGAGCCTCCTTTTCACCTGACCAGAAGAGGCTGGGGTGAGTTTCCTGTCAGAGTTCAAGTTCACTTTAAGGACAGCCAGAACAAGCGGATAGATATCATACATAATCTGAAGGTATTGAAACAAAATATTGCTCTCCAGAAATTATCTTTTTACCCTGTAATTAAAGCAGTAGGTCAGGCCTTCTGAGAGAAGTGGCCAAGCATAGTGCAAGCAGGATGACTCTTTTTAGTGTGTTACTGCCTCAACAGTCCTCTGAAGGCTGGGGGAAGGGTCACTTTACAGGGAAATGTATATTCTTTAAAAAGATAGACTTGGTCAGATAATCAGAAGACTCCAATCTCTGATCGGAACTCACTCACTGTGTTACCTGGGGCTAAGTGACTGAAGTCTTTTTTTTTTTTTAATCTATTTACTTTTCTATAAAATGAAGTAAATAGTAAGTCTTGTCTGTTTATCTCATAAGGATAAAGAATATTTATCTCCTAAGAATAAAGATAGAAGTGAACGTGTTTTAGGAAATATAAAGTACTATACAAGGTTGTCATACTTTTGATTTGTATTGTTAGAAATCTTTCCCTGATGCAGCTATGTGGTTTATTACGTAGCCATTACAAATTATATTTTATGAAGTGTTTTGTACATGTGGGGGAAAATTACCACTATAGTTAAGTGCAAGGCATAGAGTGTAAAATTACATATATAGTTTGAGGCCAACTATGATTTTAAATAGGTGGAAAAAACACAAAAAAACCCCCAAAATGTTGGAGTAATTGAAGTAATGGGTTTGTGGGCAATTTCCCCTACCCTTTTTTTCCTGTATTTTTTAAAAATACTTTTCCAATTTTACAAAACATATTTAACTTTTATAGTTGAAAAACTGACAATATTTTTTACTGTTCCCCTAAACCTTCATTACAGTAGGCTCATATTCTTCTGTCTGTATGATCTAATTCTAATATTGAACTTCCTTTTCCCTTACTTTGTGGTTTATCACATTGTTCCTATGTTAATGGCTCCCAGAATTGAACTAAATGAATCTGAGTACATCTACAGAGTTCCTTTTTCTTTCCCTTTGTTCTACAAGTATACCCTTTTTTTCTTTACAGCATGCTGAAATTTGCCCTCCCTTGGTGATAGCACTGCTTAACTCCATGTTTATTTTCTAGAGATTACTGTAAGGTTAGATTGCCTTATGATGAATTGAAACCAAATAAATAACATAAAGCCACTTTACTCAGAGAGGCAGGATATGTCCCACTTACTTGGAGGAAGGTCTGAAATAGTTTGCTTTCCTTTTATCTTATTTTAAGCACTGCATGTGCCATCTTACGTTACACTGGACCCAGCCCTAATCCCTAAAATAATTCTGTTTACATAGAATTGTTTACATAGTTTTCATACATATGGTATTGTCCACATCACGTAAGAGTTCCTGGTGGAAGACGGAGACATGGTGTTTTAAATGACAGTATTCAAAGTATTTATCAAGTTTTCTGTTAAGTATTTTACTATTTATTATGTATTAATTGGCCTTGAGATATTAAACACGTGTGTTGTGACCATGTGATCTTTATTTGTACTGGAGTGTACTTTTCCCACTTATTTTTCTGTTAATTCTCAGAGCCACCTTTGATTCTTCCCTCTGTGTTCTAAATATTTGTTGAATTGTAGAGCATTGTTCTTCATGATCTTAAATTCTACTGTTTGCTCTTCCCACTCTTGCCTAAGCTGTTACTCTGTCTCCTGATTAGCTTCTTTAATTCTAATCAATCTTCTTTCCCCTCATTCCCCTCATTCCTCATTCCCCACACACCACCATTAGATTAGTCTTCCTAAAATAGAACCATTATACTATTTGTTTCTGAGAAACCTTCACTGAATTCCTGTTATTTGAGCTCAAACTCCTTTGCCTGCTATTCAGGGCTCTTCACATTTTGACTTAATATACTTGCCCTAAATTATCTCACACTAATCCCCTGCATGAACATTCTGCTCCAGCCGGGTCAGTCTCTTCATGTCCCAGAATGCCTTGGGCCTTCTTCTCTTGTGTCTTCTTTCATGCTCTCCCTTCCTTGAATGCTTGTCTGAATTCTTTTCATTCTTCAGGTTCCTATGTAATTTTCCCTGGCTATTTAAATGCATAGTGATCTCTGTATTCTGAAATTCTGCAGTACAGAACAATCTGTATTTGCTGCTTAATAATTATATTAATACTAAATACTCTTGAGTGTTAGAGTTATGTAAATTTTAAAGTTTCCAGAATGTATAAAATTCCCATATCCTGCATCTGACAAATACTCATGTCACCTCTCCTCAGCCATCACTGTGGAGCATAGCAGTTCGCAAAACAACCAATTTATCCATTCAGTAAATAAACTTTAGGAAAATTCCTTCATAAAGGTACCTAAAACTGCCTTTTTTTTTTTACCTTGATCTCATTTGTCCTAGTTGGAAATTTAGAATAGCACAGAACAGGACTTTGTTTTTCTTCTATAAGAACCTAAAATGTGTTAATATTGACAGCCTTCATACCTCTCAGTAAATCATTTCTACTCCAGACAAAACCTGTTATTGTAACATTTCCTCTATGCTGTACTTCCTAGTTCCTCTTGCCATTTTGATAACAGTATTATTTTTATCAATGTCTCTTTTAAAATGCATGGAAGATTACAGAGAAAACGTTATTTCTCTGCTGTGGAAAATATGAAAACTGATGTTGCCTAAAATTGCCCATATCTTTTTAACAGTCATGCTATTGGCAAAGATCAAAGTATTAAAACTCCAGGTCTCTTCCATGGAACTGCTATGAATCCATCCTGTATTACCTTTTCTCTTATGAACACTAGATCTCATGATCAAGTTGTCCTCTCTGTGTTGGCTGCTAAGTAACTCAGCCACTTGACATCTACCTCTTGCAAGCATTTAGAGTTTTCTGTTTACTTACCTACCTACTAACTTACTCGTTGGCTTCATATTTTTCCTTCCATCTTTCTTTTCTACCCAACTTAGTCATTTTTCTTAAATTGATCTTACTGTATAATATTTACATTGATACGCTGCCACAGATCCTTTTTTTTAAATGATGACAAAAATTAAAATACAGGAATAATAATTTAGCCCTGTTGCATGTAATTGTAAACTTCTTTGTTTATATTATCAACAGTACTTCATTTATACTTCTTTCTTACCATGGTGCTGCTGCATTGGGAGTGATTAGCATTGCCTACACTACCTCAGCTCACATTTATTTTTTCAAAAGTGCTCAGTATATATAGCCAAAGTATATAATTGTGTCATCACACTGCATGTGTATTTTTCTCCTGTCTTTTAAAATATTTCTACATAGTCTTTGTGAACATCATCTAAATGTCTGCATAATACTTCACAGTTATGGTTCATGGTTTACTTAAGCATTTGCTATTGCTGGATGTGTATGTTGTTTTCAGTTTGTGGTTATAGGTAGTGCTGCAGTAAACATCTTTTTTGTATAAAATTTCCTCCATTTTTAGATTATTCTTAGAATAGGTTTTTAGAACTTAGTCTTTGATTGTTTACATTATGAAATTGATAGTTTACATTATGAAAAAATAGATCCTACAGTATGAAGAATCGTGGTGAAAGGGGTTTTAGATAAGACTGTGTCCTCAGATTTATAAGTACAATGGAATTTAACACTCTTCCTCTTGTCTTTCAATAGCTGGATAGAACTTACACTGGCTTGCAGACTCTTGGAGCAGAGACGGTAGGCTTTTTTGCTATAGTATTATTTGGGAACAAGTAGAATGAAAACTGATCTTCATTCTTAATTAGGAAAAAAATGAACACCAATAAGTTTATCTTCCTTTCTTGTTTCTTTTTTTAAAAAACTGTGATAAAGTACACATCAGATTTACCATTTTAACCATTTTTAAGCATGCAATTAAGTGGTGTTAAATACATTCACATTTTTAGGCAGTCATTGCTACTGTCCCTCTCCACAACTCTTTTCATCTTCCAAAACTGAAACCGTCCCCATTTACCCTAACCCCCATTGCCCTGTCCCCCCAGCCCCTGGCAACCACCCTTCTGCTTTCTGAGTCTGTGCATTGAACTGTTCTAGGTACCATGTAAGTGGGATCAAGCAGTGTTTGTTTTTGTGACTAAAATATTTCACTTAGCATGATGTTCTCAAGGTTCGTCCCTGTTATAGCATGTGTCAGAATTTCCTTTCTTAAAGAGGCTAAATACTAGTCTGTTGTGTATATATATGTATATATACACACTGTATTTTGTGTATCCATTTATCTGTCAGCATTTGAGTTGCTTCCATCTTTTGACTATTATGAATATTGCTGCTAAGAATGTCGTAGAAAGATATATCTGTTAGAGTAACTGTTTTCAGTTCTTTTGGGTATATACACCCAGAAGTTGTATTTTTAATAAAAATATTTGAGGAACTGCCACACTCCTCAATAGCAGCTGCACTATTTTATATTCCTACCAATAGTGCACAAGAATTTCAATTTCTCTACATCTTAACCAGAACTTTTTGTTTTCTGTTTTTTTGGTAGCCATCCTAATGGGTGTGAGATAGTACTTCATTGTGGTTTTGGTTTGCACTTCTGTAATGATTGTTGATGTTAAGCACCTTTTTTGTGTGCTTGTTAGCCATTTGTATATCTTCTTTGGAGAAATGTCTGTTTAAACCCTTTGCCATTTTTTAATTGAATTGTTTGTTTTTTGTTGTTGAGTTTTAGGAGTTCTCTCTATATTCTTGATATTAATTTTTTATCAGATGTATGATTTACAATTATTTTCTGTCCTTTTGTGGATTGACTTTTCACTCTGTTGATTTTGTCCTTTTTAGTCACAGCATTTAATTTTGCTGTGGTCTGTGCTTTTTGTGTGATACCAAGAAATCACTGCCAATTCCAGTGTCATGAAACTTTGCCCCTATATTTTCTTCTAAGAGTTTTATTGTTTAAGATCTTCATTTAGGTCTTTGATCAATTTCAGGTTAATTTTTGTATATGGCCTAAGATAATGGTCTACCTTTATTCTGATGCATGTGGATATTCAGTTTTCCCAGCCATTTGTTGAAAAAACTATCCTTTTCTCATTGAATGGTCTTGGCATTCTTGTCAAAAATAAGTTGGTAATGTATGTGAGGGTGGTATTTTGTTCCAGTGGTATGTCCTTCTCTATACCAGTACCACAGTTGTGATTACTGTGGCTTTGTAATAAGTTTTGAAATCACTAAGTGTGAAACCTCCAACTTTGTTTTTCCTTCCCATATACCCCCTAATTTTTTTTTAGCTCATCATAGATCAGCAGTAGTCATTATAATTAGGATTAACTAGTTAAATCTTACTCTGTTTAAGGAAATATACTGCATTATATTAGAAAATATTTATCAAGTATGTACTATATGCTAGACACTAGTCCAGGTACTAAGGACACGGAAGTGAATAAGATAGCTACTACTCTCAAGGAATTCTGTGCTTGATTGTGTTGGAGCAGGGAAAAGTTATTCAGTAAACAAAGAAGCAAATGAGTTAATTTCAGTTACAAATAAGTGCTATAAAAAAGAGAGCTGGGAGAGAAGGGGGTTGCTTTAGGTAAGTTGATTAGGAAAAACCTCTCTGAGAAAATGATATTTGAGACCTATGATGAGAAAGAGGTAGTCATGCAAAGATTTGGGGAAAGACTGTTCCAAGATGTAGAAACAGCAAATGGAAAGGCCTCAATTTAATGATTGGTTTCACTGAGTTATCTGGTAATAAACCAGACTAGATTAGATTCTGGTCTAAGTCCTTTTGTTCTTGAGATTGAAACTGTCTTTGAAGTATGATTAGAAATCATTTGTCACATCTCTTAGAGTAACATGTTCTTAGACAGTTTGGGGCTTTCTGTGGCATTGATGATGGATTCATGAGCCCAGCTGTTGCCTAATTGTGTAGGTAGTGGATGTTGAGCTCCACCGGCACTCCCTTGGAGAAGACTCCATTTATCCTCAGTCCTCCGAGTCAGACATCTCTGATGCCCCACCATCTTTGCCTTTGACCATTCCAGCCCCAGTGAAAGCTTCCTCACCAATAAAGCAGTCACATGAGCCAGTACCTGATACCTCTATAGAGAAAGGTAATATATTTTTTTCTTGTATGGAAATGCACTGTTTTCCTCGTATGGAGGAGTCATTCTGGGACACTATTTTCTCTCATTTGCATAATACGATGTTGAACTGCTGCCTTTAGAGACCTAAGAGTATGTGGAGAATAAATTTTCCATAAATAGGCATTACTATATAGTCCTGTTATGAAAATACCAAATCCTTACTCCTTTCAGAAAAGTTTTTTCATAAAGTTCTATTGACTTTTTATAGAATTCAGAGCTCACCAAAAAGCACTGAATTTTTATTCTTTGATGATTGTGATAGTTTCTTCTAATACATTACAGGAAGACTTTCTGGTTCAGTCCTTAATTGTATGAACAAAAAACTTGAATATTAAGTACTTGAAAATGTAGTATAAGATTCATCATCAACAAATGTATTTTGGCTATGGCATTTTTTTTCATTTAATGAGTATTTAAGTATATAATTAAGTATTTAGATACTTATCAATACAACATCCATTTACTTACATAACATCCATATAAGATATAAAATTGATTCCAAATTATATTAGTTTAATCTCTAAGCCTATATTTTGATGTAATGTTAAAACTAATTATTTTACAAAAATCTCAACCATATTCCTCTTTAAATTTTAGTTGCATCTTTATTAGCATTTAGTAAGATAGAACATCATTAGATTAAGTGAATGCTTTTGAGTTTTTCCTCTTCTCTGAACAGTTTTTCAATTCATATATAAAAAATGGGAGAACTTAATAAATTTATTTACTTTTATATTATATATTATTCTCTAATCTTTTGAAAGAAGCATTTTAATGAAATGATTCTAGGGATGATACTTATATTTCATCCAAAAATGTATAAAGGGGCAATAAGTACTGTTGATTGTATTTATTTTACTACTGGTAAATGTGAATGGTTTAAATAGTTGTTGAAATGATAGGGGATTATAATTGTTTCATTCTTTTCCTACAGTGATAAGGTTTTATTTCAAAGTAATTGATGACTTACCATTTGTCTGTTTCATTTAAAGCAGGATTCCCAGCCAACACTGAAGCTGAGAGGCACACTACATTTTATTCTTTGCCATCTTCACTGGAACGAACACCCACCAAAATGACAACATCCCAGAAAGTTACATTTTGTTCTCATGGCAATTCAGCTTTTCAGCCAATAGCATCAAGCTGCAAAATTGTGCCACAAAGTCAGGTTCCTAATCCTGAGTCACCTGGAAAATCCTTCCAGCCTATCACCATGAGCTGCAAGATTGTTTCAGGTATGCAGATGATGTGTGTGAAGTTGATATGTGTAGAAATTGTTGGAATGACAAAACAAAGTACAATGGATTTTTTTTTTTAAGTTCTTCTAAGCATGGTTTTGTATATTTAACATTTGAGCTAAACACTATTGATGAGCAAAGCAAAGCTGTCACAAAGCAAAAACAAAAGTCATTCATGTGGAGATAATTTTTGAATCAGGAAAGAAAGGAAATTCAAAGCAGTCAAATTTTCATCTCCTAGAATCAGCACAGGTTAAATGTTTGCTAGGATGTATGGTTGAAACTGAAGCAGGAATTAAGTTTTGGAATCATATATGGAAACTGGTAATAGAAACCAGTAACAGATGATGTATGGAAGTTAGCAATAGAAAAAAATTAGAGGCTTTTTGATTTGGCATTAAGCTTCAAGGGTTGAAATTGGTTTGGAATTGAAGTACTTTTTATACTTTCTAACCACACTAGAAAATTACTCATTCCTATTATTATTAGGTTGTTGTGAGGCTTCATTTTCGCTGAGTTTGAATTGTCCATTACCTCATGACAGTTTCACATTTATGTTAGGTAAACTTCTGGTGGGAATATACTTTATGATTTTGGCTGTACCACCTCAAAATGGGCATGAAAGAGAGTCAACAGAAATATGTAGGCAGTGGGAGGCTTCGAAATAATACTTAAGTGAAGAAGGTAAAAAGGAGTCTTTGATGCCAAGGAGAAATATGATCCAAATCTTTGAAATTGATGAAAGGAAAGAACAGAGAGTTCTCCTTACCAGTTAGAAGTGTTTTAGAACTTGCTGCTTCAGAGGTAGAATAGGCTGACATATAAATGGTTTGAAGTTTAGAGAAATTCAGGAAGACAAATTTGATGAATAAAAAAATAATTGAGGGTGTTTAACTGTACATTGGTAACCTTTGAGAGTATTTTGTGGGAACATGAATCTCTCTGGATTGTGGCTGTGACATAGTATTGACATAGACTTTTGGGTGGGTGAGTTTTATATTTTCCTATTAGAAATTAATTGCAGATCAAGACTCCTGGTTCCTAAGTCTAGCTGTTTACTTATTCCCTTCCTAATTTCAGTGTCTTCAAGTTATGACCAGTATTATAACAACCCATCCAACTTAAGAGGTTTTCTGTCTAGGGATCAGCAGTTCCACACTGTTATGTAAAGCACTGCTTTTTTAATTTTAATGCACCTGTTGGGGTAGAGGGTGGGGTGGGGGAATCATGTTAAAATATAGATTTATATTCAGTGGTCTGAGGACCTCAGAAACGGTTTCTAACAAGCTCCCTAATGGTTCTGATGCTGGTGCTGCTGGTCCACAGATGAGGATGGAGAGAGTGAAGCACACTGGTCCCCGGCCTCAGTTCCTCTGCTGCTGCTCAGCACCTGCAACTGTCCTGTCTCTTTCCCCAGTTTGTCACTTTTGTCCTGGCAGCCCTGCCTCTCTTCCGTTATCTTCAATATCTTCTTAGATGGGTTGAATGTATCTATTTTGTTTAGCTTATTTTGTTTCTCTTTTCTCTTTTTTATTAATAAAGGTTCCCCTATATCAACTCCAAGTCCATCACCACTGCCTCGAACCCCAACTTCCACTCCTATCCATGTGAAGCAAGGCACTGCGAGCTCTGTTATTAATAATCCTTATGTTATCATGGACAAGCCAGGGCAGGTTATAGGAGCCACCACTCCCAGTGCAGGTGTGTGTTTGCTCAAAATTTGTCAATAATTGTACAATATTTCATTGTTTTTAAAATCAAGTGCTAGTGTGACTTAGTAGCCCTCTGATTGCAGGAGGAAATCTTTATCCATACATAAGAGGAGTGGATCTAGAAGAGTAACTCCAGTGCTGTTTCTTTGAGGAAAAGATTTAGTTTCTGTAGAAGTTATATTTTTAGGAATTTACTTAAGTTTTCTTTTATTTTCCAAAGATAAAAATGGAGCCATCTTAATTTTCTGAAAAAAACAAGGAGTTGATTTGTTTTCATTTGGAAGACATTCTTTTTTGAGCCTGTAAGCAGTGAGGTTATTAACTTTTTCCAAATTAAACTTTAGAACAAGAAAACCTATGTAAGCTATATAGTATTTCTCCCCAGTCAAATAAAAAAAGTGATCTTTACTTTTCTTTGAATAAGATAAATTTTGTATGTTGCACGGAAACTGAACTCTGTGTGGTGGGCTTCTCCAGGTAGTTTTTTGGAAAAGTTATGTCCTTTAACGATGATTATAATTGTGGAAGTAATTTTAAAAATGCTACGTTCAGAGATCACCTAAATAGCTTTTTGCATATACTTAGGAAGCCAAATAGGTGTCCTTTAAGGATGTTTATTTTTAAGAATCAGCCAGAAGTCTTTGCAGGCAAGTTTGGTAAATGGAATAGGTGGTGAAATACAATTTTTGGTCTTGACTTATTACTGACTGTAAATAATATAACTTACTTTTATCAGACCCTAAAGACAGTAGTAGACTGAGTGTAGAATGTTTAATTTTGGCAGTATTTTGGAATAGGTACAACTTTCTAATAAAACTACGTTGAGGGAGCATACATTTTGGCACATTGTTAAATTACCCAATACCATGATGTTTTAGTATCTCTTTTTATATAAGAAGTAGAGTATATAATGTCTACTTATTCTTCTGTGTGTCATTACTAGCTTCTTGTCCCTTTATAAGTTAGTGGTCAGCTTTGTAGGATGAATCCTTAAATGTTTTTTTCTATGATAATTTCATAGTTTTAAGTTTTCAGCCCTTAGAAATTAAAAATAAATAGTGGGAAAAATGGAAAGATGGTGAAAATGCTCTAAAATTCCATTTTGTAAATTTTACTTTATTTTTAAATCTGCCTTATCAGGAAGTCCTACAAACAAACTCTCTACTGCCTCTCAGGCCTCTCAAGGAACAGGTTCCCCTATTCCTAAAATTCATGGAAGTAGTTTTGTTACATCTGCTGTCAAGGTAACATTTTATTGCTTTATTGTACATCGCTAGTTTCTGAAAACAGTATTTTCAAACTCAGTAAGAATTTGCCAGTTGTTAATGGGAATTTCATAAAGCAGAATCTTCACATGAATAAGTATCTTGAAGGCAGTCTGCTCTAGCTCCCCTCACCCATCTTACCCTTGATCTTTTCCTAGTGTGGAAAATGTTTCTCAACACTTCTGTCAGTTGGTTATCCCTTATCTATTTGGAAATTTACTATGATTTTTTGGACAGCTTTGATACACATTTTTCATTTAAAAAATATTCATCTGGCAATATATTCTTTTCTTTCCCCAATATTTGCACCAATAATGAGTAAATAAGTATATTTCCTTTTCTACATGTCAACTGTTAGCTACCTGAAAATAATTCTTACCTTTCCACAATTTTTTCCTTCATCAGGGTAAGAAGTTCTTTGAAATTTAGAGCTTTAAATAGGATCTGACTTGCCAGATCAGGGCACAGTCTGTGCTCCCTGGAGAGGACAGCCCCTGCTGTTTGCCTCCCATTCAGCCTCCCTGTCTTTGTAGTGGCTGCTTTTGGGCTAGAGCCTTGGGGTGTAAACTCCTGTCTGAGAACTTCTGAGAATTCAAAGGTCATTTTCTATGGGACCATTGCTAACACAGCATTTCCTATATTTAGGCACTTTATGTGATGGTATTGAATAGTTGCCTGACTCCAGACAAGGTTTTTCTCTAAATTCAGTGTAATTTGTGTCATATGAATCCCAGAATTATAATGATTCCCTTGAAGGTCTTAATTCTTTGCCACTCTATTTTTGTTTGTTGATGATCTTTTCCTTACACAGCTAAGCAGTGTTCTTAACTTTGTTTCTTGCCCCTAACATTTATTTATGGCAAATGGCCACTGAGATTTTACATTTTGCATTTGAAAATTAGAGACAAGTGACAGTATTTCTGAATGTTGACCTTTGTTGTTTTGTATTTGCTGATTGTTCAAGTTTTCTGTTGTTTTGTTTTTTAAATCTTTTTTGAAAAATATCCCCATGACCTGGGTATTCATTTGGAGTAAAGATAACAAATCAAGTTGTGAGTAATATTAAAAGAAATATATACTGAAATAGTAACCTGTTTATTTATTTATATAGTGCTTAGGCTGTAGGGATAGAAAAGAAACAAAATACAGTGCCTGACTTTAGTAGCTTACCATCTGACAGGTGCCTAGACATGCAGACCAATAGTCAACCAAATATTGGAGGTCACATGATGGGAGTGGGCACGATGAGTGGGTTCTTGCCATGTTATAGCCTTTCTTTGCATTTGTTATCTAAAACAATATTAAAATGCAGGTGTGGGAGCTTGCAAGACCCCAAAGAGTTTTGGGCTTTTGGTTTTGTTTTTTAGTTTCTTATGTTGCTAGAGATGTCAGTTTTGTATTAAATATAAATGCCTAGGATATCTGAAATCACTCATTTTATCCTAATTGTACAATGTGTATTTTTACATACACAGCAGGAGGATTCTTTGTTTGCATCTATGCCACCTCTTTGCCCAATTGGGAGTCACCCTAAGGTTCAAAGCCCCAAGCCTATAACTGGAGGACTTGGAGCTCTCACAAAAGTAAGTCCTGATTAGGGCATTATCCCACAAGTCAATATGGCCTGGTTACATGATCTCTTTTGTAGAATGTTGAAGTTGACTGACACTACCCCAACAACATGTAACTTTTTTACTATGGCTTAATTCTAAGACCAGACCCTACTTCTGACATGCTTCTATTCGTTTAGTAGTGCCCACATGGCAGTCCTTGGAGTCCACCAAGGTGGGAACTTCAGAGAGCACAAATGGTATATGTGTTTCTCTCCGCTGCCATTGTGCCACCAATATCTGAAATAAAAGACTAGGTTAAGTTTGCAGATACCCAGGATCAAGTCCAGACCCACTTTTGGTCCCTGTAATTGCAGTTACAGGCTATATGTAAGCAGTAGCTTTGTGCTGTGGAGTCATTCCTTACAGACCATGCTTCATTGATTCAGCAAGTGCTGTGAACAGAATAGATGCAGGTATTAGCTTTCTTCATGGGATGCTGATTCAATGTCATTATCATGTTTGTTGCAAGGTAATCATCAAGCAGGAGCCTGGGGAAGCCTCTCATGTACCCACAACAGGAGCTGCCAGCCATTCACCACTCCCTCAGTATGTGACTGTGAAAGGGGGTCACATGATAGCTGTATCCCCTCAAAAACAGGTCATAACGGCTGGAGAAGGGACTGCCCAGGCACCAAAGATTCAGCCCTCCAAGGTTTGTATTGGGTAGGGATGGGGAAGTCAACATGTGAGTGAATGTTGTTTGCCTATATAATTGAGAAGTGCTGAAAAGATTCAGGGTGACAGGGTTGCTGAACCCAGAAAAACTGTAGATGAAATCCCCGTTAGTAAAGCAAGTCAGCGATGTTAAACCCATCTGCTCATTGCCATGAGCAGAACATGTATTATAGAGGGTCCAGGAACAGCAGAGGCAGAGGAATGCTGTGTTCTCTCCCTGTCAGTGAAGGTGATTGATTTCATGGGCACAACTTCCCACTTAATTCAAGTCTAAAATGGGTTAATTGACAGGACCGAGGTCTACTATTCTGTTTACTTCTGATAGGAGAGTGCTATCTGATGTCCAGCCTATATTATCTCTGTAATGATTCTTGTCTCTATAGAGAGTTTATCTTTTTATGATATGGAGGTGTGAGGATTTACTGTATTGTGGAGAACTGTGAAACAGTATAGATGAATGTTTGCCTGCATAAGTAGTGCTTATGAATGCCTAAGTAGGTCATGCCCTTATTAGTACACTGTCTATAATGCTTAAACAACCTGGCAAGGTTGATATATACCCCCTTTCCCCACCCATTTTACAAATGAGGACACTGTGGCTCTGAGAGATTAAGTATCTTCCTTGGGAGCATACAATTAATAAGTGACAGAGGATTTAAACCCAGGTCTGCTAATTCCAAAACTTATCCCAGATCTAACTAAAATTTGTGATCCATTGTCTGGAACCTAAGCATGCTTTCAGAATTCCCAGAGTTTATTATCTCACTTTTGAGCAGGTATGTTCTAAAGGTATTAAGATTATTGTGTGTTAAGTGTTTGTTTCTGAACTTGAAAGCCAGCCCGTGTAGGGGAAATGAATTGTTTTGAGAGGCATCCTTTAAAATAGAAAAGGTTTTAGCTATTTGGTTAGTCTAGATAGCTACATATGAATTGAGATAAAAATTCATAGTGTTATATAGATGGTTTTGAAATCTGTAACACTCCATTATCTACTTTCCCAAGCTTATCTGGTCATAAGACTGATCTGATTATTAAAAACATCTAGATACCAAGGCCCCCATCTCAACTTTACTGATTCAGAATCTCCCTGGGGGCCCTGGGAATGTGGACTTTTAATAAGCTCTCCTACTGATTCACATGGATAGGCACATTTAGGAACCATGGAACTACAGAATCAAATTTGGCTTTGGGGCTTCTATGGTCAGGATCGCTAAGGCACTCCCACCTGCATCCCAAAGCTCCCTCTCTTCCTTTGGCCTTTGGGATAAGTACTTTGTCAGTCCTTTCATGAATCAGTCATTGTTATCTGGACTCCCTACTCAGGTACATCCCTTGTGTTCTTCAGAGTCTATTTTGCTTTACCTAGAGGTACATGGTATCAGTAGATTTGGGTTTCTGAGTCAACATAGCATTGCTGTTTATGCTCAGAAGCTCTAGACAAGTTAGTTTCTACTTTCTGCCACTTTGTATTTCACAAATGATTCAGTAATGCTGAACAGCTGTATTGACTTTCTTGTCACATTGCTATCTACCTAATGGCAGTGTTAGGACTAAGAGAAAGTGAATGGATTTGTGCTAGGATACCCTGAATAAAGTTCAAGGCATATGAAAAGAAAAGCCCCAGAAGAGTGTAAAAGAACTACAGAGAAGCAGTACTAAAGCATGAGAAAAGATTTCCTGCTTCTCCAGGAAATTTAGGACATGCTTTGGATTCAAGAAAAGAGCTGTCTGCAAGTACAGACTGTCCCTGGTGATTGCTGAAGTGCATTTCTAGAAACTCGCAGGAAACTGAAGGGTGAGAAAAGTGGTGCTGTTTTACCTTCCGTACAATTTAGGCATAATAGAGCATAGCTTATTCTTTGTCATGAAAGTGGAGAGAGGTGCTGCTTTTGCTATGAAAAGGAATAGCTGAGGAATTAATGGGCTCAATGGGAAGGAAGCAGATGGCAGAATGAAAGGAGCATGAACTTTGTAATTAGAGCTTGTTACACATCTCAGATCTCAGCCACTCATTACTTGTGTAAGACACTCAGGTTTATGTCTCTGAACCTTTTTTTCTTATCTAGTAAAATGGATTAATACCCTTAGTCCTTCAGAGTTGTAGGAGAATTATTAGAGATGGTTCTGTACAAGGGGCCTAACACAAAGCAGTCAGTCACTTAGTAAATAATAGTAGCTGTTAGTGACTGAAGATAAATCCAGTGTATGCATGCATGAGTACCGTGATAACAGTTATTACTGAGAACTGAATTGCAGTTGGCTGTATTTTTCAACATCTGGAGGGAAAACCACATACAGAATCCTTACCTCAGTTGCTAAAGTAAATTCTGACTTGCACAAGGAGGGGAGAAATAGAAACATTGAATTAAAGCATGAATCAAAGTGAGGTATTTATGAAAATAGAGAACAAAATATCTACTTTTTGAAACTATTAGGAAATTAGGAATACAGAGAGAAGCACTGTGGAATGGGAAGAAAAGAGTTGGTGAGTTTAGGTTCTAGACCAAAATACTGTGTTGTTAAAAAAAAAGAAAACCTAGTTTGGGATTGATAGTGTGCTACTTAAGAGCCTTCCTTGTGTCTTTACTACGCATAGGATTTTCCCAATAGTATGTCAGACTTCTTCATTCTCCTCAGATTTTTAGAACAAAGTGACGGGGGTGGGGAGTAAATTAGTTTTGTGAGTGGAATGCTCCTAGAGGATAAGCTCTGCTAGTAAAAACTGCCCTCCTGTGGCCAACTTGGGATACCATGTCTTTATTTGGCTCTTGGAAAAATTAAGTGTGTCATATTCTAGAAATTTTTAAGCAGCCAAGTATGAGGATAGAAGTTGGTACAAGGAGGAAAAAGCAAGTCATATGCATGGAATTTTGGAAAAGAAATTAAAATAGGTCCAAGTATTGTATTTCTTTAAGGTTTCTGCTTTGTTAGCTTAGATGATATATAATTAGGCCTATGCAGTGGATTATTAAGTTTGATGTATTTAGAAAATGTGAAGTCTCTTGTCTTAGAAGAAGGTTCATCTACTAAAACAAAGCCAAAGGCTAAAATAAGTTTATTTCTTATTTTCAGTCACACATAAAAGACTAGTAGTTAGCTCTGGTATATTGGTTCTAACCCCTATCTTGTTACTCTGCCATTCTCAAAATTTGGTTTTCAGCGTATGGGTTAAGATACCTGCTTCCTCTCATGCCACCAAGTTCATATTTCTGGCCAGCAAGAAGAGGGAAGGGGAAGAGAGGGTGGGAAGAGGCATAACCCAAAAGTTGCCCTCCTCATTTCTGTTCACATCCCTTTAACCAGATCAGATGGCCAAACCTAGGTGTGAGGGGGCTGGGAAATACAGTTAGTATTCTGTGTGTCCATGTCCCCCTAGAAGCTCTATTACTTTGAGAGTCTCTATTACTATGAGAAAGAAGCAAAGACTGGATATTGTTGTCCAAGTAGCAGTTTCTGCTGTACCTCAAAAATGTTTTTCTATATTAATAAAACTTTTTTTTCATGTAAATGTACAGAAAAGTTCTTGATTTGTAAGAAATATATACCACCACATCTGTAGGGGGAATGTCCATACCCAGCTCTGCAGCCACAGCAACACTTCATGTTGCCTACAGAATGACATTCATACAGTCGGAATAAAGGGATTGGTTAATCATAAGCGATTGTTTTAACCAAACCAGGATAGCTGGGAGAATTTCTTTCCTCCATTCTAGGTTAACTTGCTTTTTTTGCATTGGATCTTTGACTTGTTTGTTCCTTCTTTCTTTCCCTCCTTTTCTAAGATTACATAAAAGTGGAGATACTAGCATAATGAATCCTGTATGCCCACTACCCGTTTTCAGTAATCAGCATTTTGGTAATCTCTTCCTAGGATATTTTAAAGCAGGTACTAGATGTTACGTATTTTAATTTCTATTTGACTAACTGGCTCTAGGGTTTAAGATCAAGGTTCTCTGCCCTGACCACATACTGAAGACAGCAACCAGTGTTTATCCTTTGACTCATTCTACCCTGGGAGTCTCCATGTAGCATTCCAGGTCACCTCTCTTCAGTTACTAGTAACAAGTGTCATGGTCAGCAGCAGCTGTCATTTCCTGTGTACATCAGGTTGGCTCACATTTTATAAACTTACTTATGCCTCATGCTCTCATGAAATAAATATTATTATCCATATTTTATAGATGAAATGTCTAAAGCTAAAGCTCAAAGAGGTTAAATTACTGGTGGAACAAAACTGGGAAGCCAGGTCTTACTGCTTATAAAAACCTATACTCTTTCCTCTGTGTTGCACTGTGGTTTACATCAGTTGATTAGGGGACTGTTTTCTTTACGTCAACCATACTATCCAAGCACACAGCAGGTATGTTTTGTTTTATTCACATTCTTTGAAAAGAAACCATGTATGATTTAGTTATTTTTTAACTTAAAAAATCTCATTAATTAGTTGCATAAAGCTTATCATTTTGTTCCACCTCTTAAGTAATCCTGTTATTTTTTGAGAAAGATTCTAAAATTTCAGTGAAATACAGAGAATACTATAATCAATAAACACATATCCTCCACCCTGAATCACATGTTCATCTTTACTTCAAATTGTTCTCCAAATAAAACATAACTGATAAAAATGAAGTCCATTCTGTTGTTCCCAAAACAACACTCTCATGAATATCCAGTCCAGACTTTTATTACATAAACACATAACCATAACCAAGATATTGTTCATATGTTTTAAAGATTTACATAAAAGATACTTATTCTCATATTTTTCTGCAACTTTCCTTCTTTCCTTTCACTCAGTATTTGCACTTTTAAGGCCTTTTGATACTGATACATTTAGTTGTACTTCATTCATTTTACTAATATATGCTCTTTCATTGTCAGTCTTAAGCTACAGTTTATCCATTCCTCTATCTGCAGACATTAAGCATATTGTTACATGTTGTAGACATTAAAAGAGTTAACAGTTTTTGTTGTATT